TTTTCCAGACCATTTATCAACATGTCACAGAGGCATTCAGAAGATGAATTATTAACAGAAACCACAAATGAACCATGCAGGCTACAAGTCAGCATAGGTTTGCAAACTCTTGGGTTATTATGAGAACACAGCAGAGAATGAGGACACAACACAATTCACACAAACACGGATGCTATCTACAATTCAACAATCAACAGAGCACTGAAAGAAGGAAAATACAGAAAATAATTGTGCATAGAGTTTGGCCTCCCGCCAGTGCTTTAGTGCACAGCCCATCTTGACAAACTCATTACCGTGAGAGATAAGTCAGAGCGAGACTGACACTGTCTCAGCACTTCCACCCGCGACAGACCCTGAAACCGCACCTCAGCACTTTTGTATCATCCTACAGCCCCAGACCAAGGTTCAGTCTGTCTCTATCTCGCACACATGGACACACACACACACACACCAGTCACACGGACCAGTTGGTGTACAGTGCAGGTGGGCTACTGTATCTCTAGCCATTACATAACCATTTGAGTCACACCTGAAGCTCCACTGAGGCTTATTGTTCTTAGCAAAGCCTGCATGTGTCCTGCTGTCTTTTTTCCATTTGCAACTTTATCATATTACACAAAGTAGGTTCAGACTGAGCGTAACTTCAGCCACAAAAACTAAATTGTTTCTATTTACTCATCCTCAAGTTCCAAACCTATTTGATTTTCTTTCTATTGTGGGACAAAAAAAGAGGAAATTTCTCAAAAGTATTATAAAAGTAGTTCAAATGGCTCGTAAGCTATATTTCTAGTCTTAACCAGATTTAACCCTGATTATCTCAAGAATCAGTTGGTTCTGACTCAAAAGAATGAATCACAAATCAGACACATTATCATCACTACATTAAAAATAGTGACCAGTACATTCTTCACAATATCTCCTTTTCTGTCCCACAGAAGAAAGAAACTCATACAGGTTTAGAACGGTGTTATTTTTGGTAACTAAATATAAAACTAGTAAAAATCATATTTGTTAGTTGAAATAAAGCTAAAATAATATAAAATATAAATATTAGATGAAAAATTCACTCCTAAAAAGATGAACATTTAAAAATGTTGGAAACTAACTAACTGAAATAAATCAGTTTAATTTGAAGCACTAAAATTACTAAACCTACAAACTGAAATAAAAATAAATGAAAGCTAATTAGAAACAAAAACTAAATAAAAATGACATATCAAAAACACTAAAATTACTAAAACTTAAATTGAAAAAAGCTTGGTTTGGACTGATAAGATGGTAAATAATGTAACTGTGACAGATTTTTTGGCGTGTGGCGTGGGGGTAAACTAATCCATACGCAGAAGATGTGGTTAGACTTTAAGAACTGTCAGTATTCTGTCAAGTTATGATCACACGTACGCAGTTTAACCTCTCCATTGTGATGGTGAGGGCAAGAAGTACTGGCAGACAGTCTAACTAACCCATTAGATGACTTGTGATACTTAATGAAATCTCTTTAAGCTGTGAATCTGTGTGAATGTCTGTGCAGAGCAGGTGGTTGTGTTCATCCATGTCCCATTCTTGCTAAGAACCAGGCTGTCTGTTCTCCAGCTAACCTCATCCTCACTGAAGTCAAAATCTTATATCACGTCTCATGCACTGTACAAAGACTGACTAACAATCCTCAAGACAAAACATGACTAACACCAGTATGCCACATTCACACTCATCTACTACAGTGAATGAGGCTGGTACAAAAGAAAAAACAGAACAGCCACGGGTTCCTGAGAAACCAAAGATTTCGATTTTATCAGTTCTTAACAGTCACATGGTGATTTATGGTAAATTGGATAGCCCAAAAAAAACAAAAAACAAGACAAGAAAGACTGGAATTAACCGTATGCTCGGTGACACAAAAGAAGAAATGAAACCAAAGTCATTCTGTGCATTCCTTGCTTACTCTAGAAGTGTTGCCCAAACTTCTAACACATGTACAGTTACAATGAATTCATGAAATACTGTAAAGTTCATGATGAACCAGTACACTATATTTAGTATGGTGTTATTGAGGAAGTAACACCACAAAGGCAGGCCGGACCTCAGCCAGAATCAACAAAGCAGTCCAGGAAGGACAAGAATCTCAATTCACAAAAATGGACATGTTATGTTTAGGGATGCACCGATATGAAAATTTTGGCCGATACCGATAACCGATTACTCTTTATTTTTGAAAGCCGATAACCGATATGTTGGCCGATAAATCTATATCCAAATTGTTATATACTTTTTGAGAGCCTGATTACAAAAAAGGTCTCATCATTAAAAGCCACATCCCAAACACTTCAACATAAGCAGCCTAGTTTGAACGGTGTACGTTTTAAAAATATTTTTACTCTCCCATTACATGTTATGTACACATGCAAGAGGTGACTAGATGTCCAGACGTCTAAATTTAAAGCTGCTGAGGGAATTAAAAAAATAATAATTTCATTTAAATACTTTTTTGTGCCCTGCCTAGTTCAAGCGTAACTGCTGAAATATATATATATGTATGTATGTATGTATATATATATATATATATATATACACACACACACACTAAGCTTTCTCTCTAAATTTCCATTTAAATATAAGCCTAACTACTAAGAATAATTAAATTAGCAATGTATAAAATAGCTCATAGATATGTAGACAGATGTTTTCTGCCAAGTTCAAGCATAACTGTTGAATAAATATTATACGTACACACACGTACACACACACACACACACACACACACACACACACACACAGAGTCTGGTTCATTATCCTTGTAGGGACTCTCCATAGGCGTAATGGTTTTTATACTGTTCAAACTGTATTTTCTATTACCCTACACCAACCCTACCCCTAAACCTACCCCTCACAGGAAACTTTCTGCATTTTTACATTCTCAAAAAAACTAATTCTGTATGATTTATAAGCTTTTGTACACATGGGGACCTCAATTTAGGTCCCCACGGTGACACAAGTCCCCATGAGTTGGTGTGCATTCAGGTTTAAGTACCCACTAGTGTAGAAAAACCTGTGTACACACACACACACACACACACACACACTAAACTGTCCCTAAACTGTTAAATATTAGCTTGTCTCCAGCCTAGTTTGAGCGTAACTAATGAAACACAACTAGATCAGCAATGTACACAATATAGCTAGTTTATTAGCTGCCCTTGAAGAACGGTCTACCGTAAAACAAAACAATGTTGATTAGGTCCAAGTGGCCTGTCACCCAACTGGGATGTGAACTATCGCACAATAATATCAAAACACTTTGACAACATAAATGTATTTTAAAAGACGCTCATAAGACAAAAGCGTAACCATGACGACCGCTCTGTCGGGCACTTACCGTACAGACGGATCTGATAGTAACGTTACTGAAAGCAAGTGAAGCAGAATAGGGCGGAACGCAGTGAGCTTCGGTGCTAACGTTACACCGCGTACATTCAACCAGCTGTCCAGGAAATCTAACTAATCTCAACCTAGAGGGATCCGCTACTACATACTACATGAGAATCAGTCCGAGGGGAAGATGTCAGCCGTTTTTCCCTGCCCTGTACCCTGTACTGCTCACTCAGATTATGTCCGCAGCTTGAGTCTCTTTTCCATTTACGTCACGACACCGAGTCGGAAACCCCGCCCACTGACGTCACCTCGAGCTCGCGTGTCATTGCCAGGAACACATCCTTCGAAAGTACATTCAAAACATTTAGTGTTTTATTATTACTACAGTTCAGTGACAAACACGGGAAATTATTTAAATAAGGTGATCTAAAACAGTGGGACTGGGGTCCAATATGTTTTTAAATGATTTAAATGTACATTAATGTATTCTTATTTAAATTGCTAGAAACACTAAAAAAACAAAAAAAACAAAGATGTACAACGTTAAACTTACATTTTTTTGAGTTTATTATTATTTCAACCATAGAGACTTATTAGCCTATTAGACAGGAAGGCCTAATCATTTTCTTGGAGGGTTTAGAACAACTGATTTAAAACTCTTAGCTTCTAATAGTAATTAATTAATTAATAGTAATAACTCTATATTTTTATTTAATTTATTTTCATAAATGTGTGTGTATATATATATATATATATATAGTATTTATAGAGTTTTAGCTTTTAGTTTTAATTACTTTTTCTTATTTGTAAGTCGCTTTGGATAAAAGCGTCTGCTAAATGACTAAAAGTCATACAAGTCTAATTTATAATTTTTATTTAATTTATTTTCATAAATGTGTGTATATATATATATATATATATATATATAGTATTTATAGAGTTTTAGCTTTTAGTTTTAATTACTTTTTCTTATTTGTAAGTCGCTTTGGATAAAAGCGTCTGCTAAATGACTAAAAGTCATACAAGTCTAATACAAACAACATATACGTGTATATTCTTGAAATAGGTTTAATTCTAGGGTTCCCACACTTTTGACCAAAAGCTTTTCTCTGATTTTTCCAGTTGTCTGTGATTATAGTATAAACATTTTTTAAAAACATTTATGGTTTTTGATTCAGAACATTTCACTGAATCATTCAAACCAGTATGTGATCCAGGTTGACAGATTTATTGAGAAAAAAATATATATATTCAATTCGCACGAAAAAATTAATAAAAACCTGCTTAAAAGCACTATCTAGCAATATTGATTAAACATTTTAAACCAGAGCATATCGAGAAAACAAATGTTTATAAACATTTCCATGACATTTCTAGATTTGGAAAAAACAATTTCAAAATTCCCTGATCTGTCTAGGTTGTCTATGACCAGGGGAACCCTGTAATACACGTCATACCCTGTTCAGCCGATGCACTAAGAAATCACTTCCTTTTCTTTTTTTGCTCTCAATTATTATCATTGTATTTTTGTCTCACAAACTTCTGAAAAGTAACACCCAATTAAGAAGAGGATATATCCAGCGCTGGGACAGTAATACAGAAACACAAAGAATCGACCTCTTCATGTAAGGTAGTAGAAAATAGTCTCCCATGTTTATTGGAGGTAATCAACTGGGTTTCAGTTAAATCTGTGTTCATTACAAAACACATTCACTACATGGCATGATCAAAATAAACATCTGAGACACTTCCAGCTCCCCCTTTCCCCCATCCATTATTTTCACATCTGGATCAACCTGGATGGGAGAAACTGGATTTCATACAGCTGCAGAAAAAAGAAAAAAAATGTGCACAAGTAAATTAATGACTCAATTCAGGACATTAATGAATAAATATTAGCTAATAAAGCAATTAATTAAAAAAAAGCTTTTTCCATTCAGCAATTAAACCAAGCATTCACATGACCTCTACAGGATCTCATGCATTACTACAAGATCTACCAGAAAGTCTTAAGAATTTTCACATTTCACTCTGGAAATAGTGAACTAGTGCAAATGACATAACCATACTTTTTACAGGTGTCTGGTTAGAGCAAAACATGCTTTCATTATATAGAAGCTTATAACCAAATTAATTAGTATGACAACTTCTATATTATTTTAATCAATGAAGCATTACAAGAAGCTTGGGTTCACCATTCAGCGTTTAATATTTCATAGGTTTTTTTTGTCAAAAGAGTTCCGTTACCCATTGTACAATAGGCAGCAGATGAATCAAAATGTCTAAAGACAAACTCACAAGACATAAACACACAACATGAAGGGAATCAAATAGGGTTTATAATGCATACAAGAAAAGAGTGGATGTAGAGATGATTCAGACAAAATAAACAAGATCTTTACAGGTAGCAGCAGAGAAGGCAGCAAGGATGGAGGCAAAGACGAGGTTGGGGGACTGAGAAGCATCGACCGCAGTGTGGAGGCTGCGGGCACTGTAGTACTGCACTAGAGGGGCCGTCTGCTTGTGATAGGACTCTAGTCGGGAGCGCAGAGTGGTCTCGTTGTCATCACTGCGGCGAATAAGAGGCTCCCCAGTCACCTGTGGATATATGGATCAAACCAAACCTTTACAACAATGCTCATAGCTGCCCTGCTAATAAGAACAACACAGTTTTTGTTTCTCACATCATCCTTCATTGGCTCTTTGGGAGGGTTGAACTCTTCATGGTAAGATCGGCCACTGGGCTGGTGAATGAGCCTGAGGAACGAAATGAATTATGTTCAGCAAAGTATATTTATTTTGTTACTGTACCTTAGTACATGTTCAGGTATCTGTACTTTTTATTTTGAGAAACTTTTACTTTACTACATTTCAAACAAGCATAAAATCATACTTTTTTACTCTACTGCATTTCATAAAAAAACATATCATTCCTCATTCTCTTGAACTGAAGAAATTGCCCCCCGCTCTGAGTAAATTCAAATCATATAGAGGTTATGACAGCCTATTCAGATGCTTGAATGTGGACTTGAATGCAATAATAATAAGAAAGGTTTCTTGAATAGCAAATCAGCATATTAGAATGATTTCTGAAGGATCATGAGACACTGAAGACTGGAGTAACGGCTGCTGAAAATGAAGGAAAATAATGCTAATAATGCCCATGCATCTTCCCGCTGATGTAGCAGTTTCAAATGGTATGAAACTCAAATATTTGCATAGCGTTCCTCTTAAAATGTGAACACATTTTTCCACATGTGATGTCTGTACACTGTATTTCTATACTATTTATTGCCATATTTACACAAATTTAGTTTTTCCACATTTTTTCAAATACTATATGGCATCCTTTTACATGTTTGCACACTCCATACATTTGTGTAACTCACACTGATATTTTAGTATATTTAAATGTAATGTTTTTATACTGCATAGTATTTTTTTTAATACATTTTTTTGCAGATCAATAAATAATAAATGTCTGCACTAATCTTTTATTAGTGCTGACTAACCGGTCTAGTGCAGGCTAGAATAAATAAACATGGCTCACCTAAAAATTATACATACAAAATGAGGACTTATACTTTTAAAGAAATAGTACATTATTAGGTTATTGTGCTTTTACTCAAGTACTTGATTTGTGTATTTTCTCCACTACTGTTTGTTAAATTTAAACAAGAGTCTCACTGTCATGCTTTACAATTAAAAGCAAGGAGGAAGTAAGGAGGCACACTTCCTTTTTAAGCTGCAATCAAAACCACTCAAGGAAAAACTTCCTGCCACCACCTCCATTAAGGATAACAGAAACAAAAGTGTTTGACAGCTACTATGCCCTACCTAAAAAACGTGTCTTCTCTCATTCCAGAAATGAGCGACATCTTTTCAGTATATTCCTTATTCATTAAATTAAACTGAGCTAATAGAAAGCATTAGTGGTAGTGGGCTACTACACAATACTTTAAATTGACAGGACCCTCCATCTTTATACCTCCCACAGATCCTGCGCACTAGCAGAGAGTCATCAACAGAGAATTCAACCACAGAGTCCAGTTTCTCATCACGCTTCTCCAAAAGGCCGTCCAGCTAGAAATGAGAAAGAGAGAGATACAGGTTGACAGATGCATTCTTGTGATCAGAACTTGGCGAGAAAGGATTCTGCACCCTTTTTATTATTAAAGATTACAGATGTATCACAGACACATATGGAGGGTCAGTTGTTTACAGAAGTCCTCACCATTTCTGCTTGCTTGACGGTGCGGGGGAAACCGTCCAGCAGGAATCCATTCTTGCATGCAGGCGCGTCCAGGTTGTTTTCAATGAGCTCCACCACCATCTCATCACTCACCTAAAGGAAAGATGACAAAACTTTCAAAAGATTCAGGACTTTATCCCTCCAACCAAAAATACACATTGGGGAGGAACAAATATTAAAATATATATAAAAACTAGAACATCTATTTATTTTACCAGTTTGCCGGCATCCATGGTTTCCTTAAGCCGCTGACCGAGCTCTGAGCCAGATGCCACCATGGCCCTCAGCATGTCCCCAGTAGCTAAATGACACACACAGTACTTCTCTGCAAGCTTGGGTGCCTGTGGAGGCCGAAATGAAAAAATAAATAAATAAATGGAATTAACCCAGAAACAACAACAAAATGATCAGAGACATTACATAAAATAACATTTAAAATATAAGGAAAGCC